GATGGGATTAATGTTATGTCTCTGTTCACAGCTTGACCCTAGCTCCGCCCCTCCACGTTCTGACCTATCACAGTGAACTTTTTTCTCCCCCCTTTTTTCGCCGCTGCTTATTTAAACTCTCACTCAGTTTCCTTCTGCCACACTTCTATTGCTGCCCACAGATACTACTTACCAGCTAAGTGCTATTTCTTATTTTTATAACGTTTTTTCTGTTGTTTTGTTCGCTGACGAAGGCTTTCTGCCGACACGTTCGCTGTTTTGTTGAGTTTAATTTTTCAGGTTTAACCATACTCTGTTTTACTCATTTTATTTTGTACTAACCTGATTGCAGTCTCTCCCCTTATTACCCCTCCAATTAAACACAAGTTTGAAAAGCAATGTTTTATGTCTCATGAGTAATAATTATGGCCAGGGCTGGTTTGTGTTTGTATGAATGTATGTGTTCATATGAATGTATGTGTTCATACGAATGTATGTGTTCATACGAATGTATGTGTTCATACGAATGTATGTGTTCATACGAATGTATGTGTTCATACGAATGTATGCGTTCATACGAATGTATGTGTTCAGTATTCATCCATGAGTTAGGAGTATAGGAGAATGACAGGTGTTTCGGATATATTTGGTCCCTGATGTGGTACTCTTGGCATTGAGAGAGGAAACACATTTACCAACAGCCTGTGCAACAGGAAGTGACATCAACATTATTACCATGAGAGATTGCAGGAAAAATGTAATGTCAGTTAGCCATCTGGTATCAATGGTAATAAAAATTTCTCCCGCTAAAAGGATTTTGAGATGCAAGTTCTCATTATTGAAATAAGTGAATTAACTTATTCAATGTTTGTGTTGCAGTTAGATTAAGGAAGATCCTGTAAATCTCAGTGCTCATGTGTTCATTTAGGAATCAAAATAGTCCTACATATAAACTGGCACTATCGGTGGAAGTATCAATAAGTTGCGCATTAGACAGTTATACAAGTATTTTCCGGACTAGCTTCATTTTACTGTCGACTGTATTCAGATATAAAGAAGAGCCACTAGAAAAATACTTGTATAACTGTCTCTGGTGCATGGCTTTACACCTTGCTATTTAACAAATGCTTGTGCATACAATAAATTAAAAGCCACAAAAAGGTTTTAATATTGGTATTTGAAGATCCACAATTTTTCAGTTATCCACACTAAGGATCAAATATTGGCTGCCCATTGGATAACAAAAAAAAAAGCCTGTAGAAACACCATTTTCAAATTTATATTATGGTTAATTGTTTATAGCACTGGTTCTCAACCTTCTTAATGCCGTGACCCTTTAATACAGTTCCTCACGTTGTGACCCCACAACCATAAAATTATTTTTGCTGTTGCTTCATAAATGTGTTTTCCGATGGTCTTATGTGACCCCCTGTGAAAGGGTCGTTCGACCCTCAAAGGGGTCGCGACCCAGAGGTTGAGAACCGCTGCTTAATAGCTTTATTTTGTTTCAAACTTTCTTCCTCACTGACAAGTCTAGGTAAAGTTGACCATGTTTTTTAATTTTTAAAATTGTTATGTCTGATGTTGATGTTGACATACGCATGGACCAACACAGACACAAATTGTTAATGACGCAAACACTGAATAATGTTGACTTTATGCTAAAATAACACACGTCTCTTCCTTTTCATTAATATCAATAATATAATAATTGAAAAAAACAAACAAAAAACGCTGGCAAAAAGAACGGGTGTGTTGAAATGTTGAGTCGAGCTAGAGCAGTGGTTCTTAACCTTTTTGGAGGTACCGAACCCCACCAGTTTCATATGCGCATTCACCGAACCCTTCTTGATAGGAAAAATAAAATATGTTTTTTTTTTTCTGATTTTTTTGTTTGGACCTCCGCCGAACCACTGAGACTGACTCACCTAACCCCTGGGGTTCGATCGAACCCAGGTTAAGAACCACTGAGCTAGAGGGTTGTTCGCAAATTACATCACGCTCAGGGGGAAGGGGGGATCGAAAATTTGTGACGGGGTGTAAAAAAATTTGTGACGTCACACTTAAAAAAAAAAAAAATCTAAAATTTTTAAATTTTGAAAAATCTTTATTAAATTAATTTTAAAAATATTAATTTGAGGTCTACCTTGCCTCTGGTTTAATAAGCAACGTGAAACTCATATCGAAAAATGACGCAAAAACTGTTGTGGCGATTTTACAGTCGGCTCGGGGAGGACTTCGTTGTTTTACGTCACAGCTTTCCAATAATGCTACCTCTTAATACAGTGGTTCTCAACCTTTCTAATGCCGCGACCCTTTAATACATTTGCTCATGTTGTGGCAACCCCCCAATCAAAAAAATATTTTCGTTGATATTATATAACTGTGGGGTATATGTGTTTTCAGATTGTCTTAGGCGACCCCCGTACAAGTGTTGTGCGACCCCCAAAGGGGTCGCGACCCACAGGTTACTAACAGCTGTCTTAATCCATTACGGGAAAACGTTAAAAAATAAAATCTTAGTCTAGTTATGAAAATTTTAGGTATGTTTTGAATTTTTTAAGTGTGATTTGACACTAAAAAAGGAGGGGGGAGGGGGGTGGGTAAAGGATTTTGGACACTTAGTGACCGGGGGAGGGAGGGTCGGAAAATGTCATCTTAGCGTGACGTAATTTGCGAACGACTCCTAGATTCTCCTCCGGTGTTTTTCACAATTATTTGGTAAAATGTATTTTAAAACTAAAACCCTTCTTTCGTATGAAACTTTGGATCACGAAGATCAATAAATATCAAAGTTTTGGGTACCGGTATTGTTTAAAAAATTAAATTTTAAAAATCTATTTGTCTTTGATGACGTTTACTTCAGTTGTGGGCAAGTCTGTGAAACAAATGTCCGGATAAACGACAGTAGTTGAAAAATCTTCAAAACCGGTCAATAATTTTAAAAAAAGTAATCTTTCTTCACGGTAGTAACATGTTAGTAACAAATGAAGAGTAGTGCGAGTGATCGTGTTGCGAAATGTACTGACAGAACAATAAAGGAGATCTGACTTAGAGACCAAGTCAGATCGTGACACTCTATGACGGAGATCTGACTTAGAGACCAAGTCAGATCGTGACACTCTATGACGGAGATCTGACTTAGAGACCAAGTCAGATCGTGACACTCTATGACGGAGATCTGACTTAGAGACCAAGTCAGATCGTGACACTCTATGACGGAGATCTGACTTAGAGACCAAGTCAGATCGTGACACTCTATGACGGAGATCTGACTTAGAGACCAAGTCAGATCGTGACACTCTATGAAGGAGATCTGACTTAGAGACCAAGTCAGATCGTGACACTCTATGACGGAGATCTGACTTAGAGACCAAGTCAGATCGTGACACTATCGCGGAGATCTGACTTAGAGACCAAGTCAGATCGTGACACTCTATGAAGGAGATCTGACTTAGAGACCAAGTAAGATCGTGACACTCTATGACGGAGATCCGACTTAGAGATCAAGTCAGATCGTGACACTCTATGACGGAGATCTGACTTAGAGACCAAGTAAGATCGTGAGACTCTATGACGGAGATCTGACTTAGAGACCAAGTCAGATCGTGACACTCTATGACGGAGATCTGACTTAGAGACCAAGTCAGATCGTGACACTCTATGACGGAGATCTGACTTAGAGACCAAGTAAGATCGTGAGACTCTATGACGGAGATCTGACTTAGAGACCAAGTCAGATCGTGACACTCTATGACGGAGATCTGACTTAGAGACCAAGTCAGATCGTGCTACTCTATGAAGAAGATCTGACTTAGAGACCAACTCAGATCGTGATACTCTATGAAGAAGATCTGACTTAGAGACCAAGTCAGATCGTTACACTCTATTTTCAGTGCTTGGGCGGAGCTCCCGCTAGACTTAACCTACCTGTGTGAAGGTAATCAGGTGCATGTTTAATAGCAACAAATAAGGACATGCCGGGCATTAGGTCGGGACTGTGAGTTCATTAAACACAGGAGACAAAACGGCAAGTCAGGCCAACAACAGTGTGTTGTGAAGAAATAGCTCT